TGTGGATTATCATTTTATTCTCGTTGTGTCTGAGCCGGAAACAAGTATTGCACCATCGACTTATCATTTTATTCTACGTGTTACAATATTACAAGTGGCGAAGATAATAATAACATATCATCTCATTCTCGTAAACGTAGTAAGATTTTTTTTGGAAAGGTCTTTTATTCTGCTGTTATCATGAAACCATGATACGATAATCAATTTTTGCTTTATTATACGAACAGCCCGAAAAGTTTGAAACGGGAATAAAATATGATAACTGCGTGTATCGTTATTGCGCGTAACTATTTTTACGACTACATAATTCTATTGTCATTTCTCATATTATGAAACGTAACTCATTTAGTTTAATATTATCATATAAACTTATTCTTGTGCACTTAGTCATAGGTAGAAAATTTGAATAATATTGTATTATTTTGTTATTCCGTAAGGAAGTGCTTAAAAATCACGAAAAAAATGAAAAGATGTATTGGTTCCTAAATATGACGTAATACTAAAATTGTGCTAAAATGAGAGTAAGTGTCAAATGGTTTGACTACCTTCTCCGCGTTGCGCACTATGCCGCAGAAGCATAATGCGTAATGGTATGAATAATCTCGTGTAATATATATTTTTACGGCGTCCGTTCACGGCTTTGCCCAATATACGGTCCAATAAAGTTATTGTTTAAATATATAGATAGATATAGTATATAGACACGACAATGTTTTCGTCTTTTTGAATTAAATTCCTTGTTAAATGAGGGCTTACAATTAAAGAGGCAATTATTTTACAGGCGTTATTTTTTTTTACCAGCTGCGTGCTTTGTAAGACACTGAGACAAAGAAAAATTATGTAAAAATTACATTGAAGACAAAGGGGCTCTTAGCGCTTTTTGGCAGACTATGGAAAATAAAACAGCTGCTAAGCATTCAAATATTTTTCCTTTTGTAATGCGTTTTTTTCCTTCAAGTGGTTCCTCTTGTAATGTTTTCGTCATTATTTTTTAAGAGCCCTTTGTTAAGTGTCATCATTAATTTAATGATTTGTTTGGGGCTTTGATTGTTCCATTTTCATTATTTTCATTTTTCACATTATTTTTTTATTTGTTTCTTAATTCATTGCAAAACAATGGAGTATTTGGAAAATGTGATTGCATACAGGCTACGGTAGCAATAGAGCTCCTTGAGAAAGAGTTCGTGTAGGGAAGTCCTGCCGCTTTACCTATTTCTGTCGCCAAGCATTAATGTCAGCTTACTGCGTTCCGGTATTGAGGGTTAAGGCTAATTACAGGCACATGGAACTTGTCAACTTATGCCTCAGCGTGACAGGCGTAGTGGCAGTATCTTTCAGATCTTTGCGATTTGCCTTACTACCAGGCACACGGCTTATTCGTTCCGTTAGGGCGCGATCCCATTATGTCGTGACGACAGTCGTGCAGTTTAAAGTGTTGTGTCTTACATATTCAAATGAAGTTGTTCACGTATAGCAAAACACGATTAACTCTCGTTCACGACTTTTTCGAAGTTACTACGACAGACTGTCGTGGTAATGGGAAGAGCTAGAACGACAGTCATCTGACGATAAATAAAACGTTACGATAGAAATGTGACGACAGATAATCGTCGCTGCAAACGATTCTGTAGTTCATACGACAAGGCGGCTGCCGTGAACCGATAAATTGTCGTCACGATCTAGTGGGAACAGTTACACACGACAGTCGTTCAAAGATAAAATAAAAATCCACGACACAGTCACGACAGATAGTCGTAATATGGGAACAGACTAGACGTGACAGTCGTCCAATGTTAAATGAAACGTTACGACATAATAGAGACGCGCCCTTTCTTGGTATCACAAAAAAAATATTTACTACAATATCTGTTGCTATCGCTTTAATGGCAAGTAATTTTGTGTAAAGCCGTTGGAATGTTCTCGTTATTACGTTTAACATTTTCGTTTAAGTTTATGCATTATTTCCTGTACATGTTCCGATCGCAATATAGTATTTTTATTTTTGCTTAATCGCTTTGATGAGTTGTAATGAGCAGCATGAACTCAATATTCCTAATTGGTGCGACCAAGAATTGGAAACGCTATACTAATTTATAAGCACACTTGAATAACAAGCAGTGCTGAAGTCAACAATGTTAATTGGCTCTGCAGGCGGGTTTGATCTGCAATTAACAAACTTGCAGTTATACAGAAACTCGGAAGCTTCATTTCAATTACGGTGGCTTCATTCGCATATCTAACATCTTGTCTGTCATTCTGGTCATTAATTTGGAATGTGGTTATCTTTACTGTTGACAATTTGGTTGAAAAGTAAGGAGATAATTAATTAATTTTAATCAGATAATGTTTTTAAATTCATGTTAAATGTTGAGTCCCAATTTAGGTGCTATACTCCGTCCAACTATTTATTTAACTTTTGACATATGTATGCCTTCGAAGTTTCGTAATTATTGACATAAAACCATAGACTTAAAATGCAATACTTCCTGGACTCTTTTATTTTTTAATTTTAGTGAAGCGCTCCTTAGCTCCGATATTTATCGAGCCAATAGATTATGTGACGAAGATAATTTAAGTTGATAAATTTTGGTACCTGTCTAATAAATTATAATGAAATTGAAAAAATTACAATAACTTCTTATTGTGTATGTAATGAATCATCAGTTTCTTCTCCATATGAATGGGAATAATCACTTGAATTAACATTAATTATTAATTCTTGAGTACACAAATTGTCAAAGGCAACATTACGATTCCAATTAGACTATATCTTTTTATTTGGAACCCGCTCACATTCACGATAAATAAAAAAAATAAAAATATCGTAAGATCTGCTGGTTCGTTGGGAGAGCGCCAAGCACGGTATGCTGAAGGTGCTGGTTCGAATGGAGCCGGATCGAAGGAATATTTCTTAGTGTTTGATCTTTGTATTAATAAATTAAAGCACCTATGTCATGGAAATCAGAAAAAATCACATACATCCAGACCCGAGGCAATATAGAAAAGTTAGTTTATTGACAATTGACCCGGCAGTGGATCACATCCGGGACCTCAGAGATGACGACACCATGTAAAACGGTGTACCTTTTTTTACTTATAAGAATAGCGTTAAGAACATGTCAAACTTAACACTTAAGCTATTAAGGCTTTTGTAATAATAACTCTTTATTGCACAAAGAAACGATACATGAAACACAAGTTATAAAGGACATATACAAAGGTGAGCTTATCTCTAGAAGAGATCTCTTCCAGCCAATCCTACCCTAGGTGAAACATGAAGTCTGCGGGACTAATTATTGTACAATAAAATTAAAATTTAAATGTGAGTAAAAAAAATATATTTAATAATATAATATATATAAAGGATAATATAATACATATAAAGGATTATAATATGTACATATGACAGACATACACACGTACATGAACTTTATATACATAAATACAAACATAAGCAGAATATATATTATAATCTAAACAAATTAGTACTTTATAATATATGTTACCTATTAGCTATCTAACGCGTTCGACAGGTAGTGCTCTTTTAATTTATGTTTGAAAGATGCCACCGATGGACTATCACGAATGCCAGCAGGCAGTTTATTCCACATACGAGTTGCACTTACCGTGAAAGAGTTGTGGAAGAATTTCGAGTTGGATTGAGGATTTATTAGTGATCTAGTGTCACAGGTACGTTTTGGGCGGGAACTGGGGGATAAGGGAGAAAAACGGGAACATAGATAATGAGGAAGCTGGGGGTAATGTAGAATTCTGTAAAGGAGACAAAGAACGTGCATATCTCGGCGAAGTCGGATTGGTAGCCAAATCAACTTAGTCCGAAATTCAGAGACACGGTCATATTTCAGTAAACCGAATATGAAACGGATTGCCAGATTTTGTAGGCGCTCCAGTTTGTTAAGCAGCTCCTCAGTAGCATCCAAATAACAAATATCGGCATAGTCGAGAAGAGGAAGTAGTAAAGACTGAGCAAGCATAACCTTGGTATTGAATGGCAAGAAGAATTGAAGCCGCTTAAGAGAGTGGTAGGAAAAATGCATGCGTCGACTAACCTCATTTACCTGCGGTCTCCAAGACAGTGTATGATCAATTATCAGACCCAGGTTCTTTGTATTATCAGCATATGGAAGACTCACTCCATTATACGAAACCTTGGCGAGATTATCAATGTCCAACCTACAGTAAAGTCTGTTGCTACCTATGATTATTGCCTGTGATTTCGTTGGGTTTATAAGCAAACCAAACGCATCAGCCCAAGACTTCACCACAAGAAGATCTTTATTAATATCTTGAATGGCAGATAGGGTATTAGCTACATCAGTGTCGATAAATTTGCACGTCATCAGCGTATAAGTGGAACGGAGGAGTTATTCGTTTTGTGAGTTCATTTATGAACAGCGAAAAGAGAAGAGGTGAAAGTACACCACCCTGAGGCATCCCTGAAGTCAAAGGAGACCAATCAGAATAAGTGTCATCATGCTTGATCCTTTGAAGGCGATTGCGGAGGTAGTCTGAAAACCAAGCGATTGCAGCAGGGGAGAAGTTAAGAGAGCAGAGAATGGCAAGAAGGATGTCATAGTCGACAGAGTTGAAAGCACTGCTGAAGTCTAGTAACACAATAATGGTAAACAATCGGTTATCCATGGCGTGGCGAATATCATCCGTGACGTTAAGTAAGGCAGTTACTGTGCTATGACCAGGACGAAAACCGGATTGATATGGACTTATAAGATCATAACGAGAGACAAATGAGAAAAGTTGTTTATGAACAGTGCCTTCAAGGACCTTGGACAGGAATGGTAGGATGGAGATAGGACGAAATTGGGAGAAAGCCGTGGGAGTAGCGGATTTAGGGATGGGAATGACGTGGGCTAATTTCCAGTCGCTAGGAAAGACGCCAGTTGCAAGTGAACAATTCATAATGTGTGTGATAATTGATGTAACGTCATCCAGGATAGGTATCAGCATGTCACGGCAAATACCATCTTCACCCACGGCCTTGCAAGTAATGGATAGGATACTCTTCTTAACTTCCCCCTCAGTGACTTCGCGAAAAGAAAAAGGCTCATAAGCAGGACGTGCAACAGTGCCCAGAGAGGTGAGCGTAGAAGTCTTGATAGAGTCAGCAACTGTAAATTGTGAGTTGGTAAAGTATTTGTTGAGTGATTTGAGATCGGGTAAGTCAACAGTATAGTCACGATCTTTACCTACACCAAGTGATCTCAAGAACTTCCAGGTTTGACCCATAGACAAGCCTTCCATCGGCGAATGGATGTAACGCCGTTTGGCGTCACGACACAGTCTGTTGCAGAGATTACGCAGCCGTTTATAGGAAAGCAAATTATCGTCACTAAGGATCGACTTGGCCTTGTCCCTACGTTTCATTTGTGATTATTCACTAAATGATTAGGTAGCTGTAAGGCTTTACACACTAACCACAGGATCGAACTACATAGCCCCCAAGTGCTGTCGCTGGAACGTCACTGCATACCCCGTTTGACACGAGAAGCCATCGAGATGAAGAAATACCAAACATTTAACTGTGAAGACGAATTTAAACTATCTAGTGTGTAAAATCTGGTGCTTTATGCTTACAATAATACAAACAAAAATGCTTCGACTTCAGTTTCGCGTGTGGATACAGATAATGTGGTTTGTCGAAAAAAGTTAGTGACGATGGTTACGCATCAGGTAATCGAGGTGATGGTAATCGTCGACAGCGAAACAGGGTAGACAGATATGTCTGTTCCTAAGGCCATCATCTGCTGCTGGCTAGCCAGCCTGTGACCACGGAGCGTGCAATCGTTCCGATATACCGGGAAAAGAACTCATATCGTGATAAGAAACCTGTACTTAGCGATAATAATTTAGAAAATAAAATAAATAAAATCAGCTTTATTAGACACGCAAAATACACTTTCACATAAAAAAAATTGAAGTTAAAAATAAAAAATATGTCCATATCTATATATGCTAATTAACGCACACACATTCAACATAGCCCCGCACTAGGGAAACCCTGTGTCGCGGGTGCCATGGACACACGCATAGACAACCACAAATTACACCCAAACTCACGAGAGAAATAAATGTAAGCCATACAAACATTTCTCCCGGCCCGGGAATCGAACCTGGGACCTCTGCGTGGCAGTCCGGCATGGTAACCGTTCGGCCACGGAGGCAGTTAAAATTACATAGCCCTCGCTGTTATTCTGCGATGGCTCGTCATAAATTGGAGCACCACAATTCAAATATATGAAACATTATGTTACATTTAAGTTACAAAAAAAAAAATAATAATTGTAGACAGTTAGGCACTAAGTGAATAAAATTAGACACAAGGAACAATCAGACAAAGAAAATAATCAATTTGAGTAATAAATAAGTAATTCATTCATCATTTATTACACTTAAGATTTAATTTCAATTAGTTCGTACCTCTACACACCGAAGACTGCACACGTAAGTACCTTCAATACATTTAATTAAGATATATTTCAACTTTCAACTAACCAGGACTTAAGGATGGTCCGGAACTCCGATCGTACATCTTCCTAGATGCTAACTGAAGATAAAATGGATTGTCCCCTTATCTAACTGCGTTGATCTAGAGACGTTGGTTGTTCATTAGTCAGAAGTTGCCTTCTGCCTTTATTTAGAAGACATACGTGGCTATAAATTGCTATGGAATTGTTTGGGAGGAATTAGTTGATAAGGGATTGTGGTTTAATCTTTTTTTTGTTTATTATTCTAACCTGTACTGTAAGGCTGCGTTTTTATATAATAGGAATTTTTTTTGATGACAAGCCACGGAACGAACGAGTCGCGCGCCTGCTGGTAAGCGACACACTTACGCTACTAACAGATTGATTGCATAACAGTATACATGCAGTCAATCTGTTAGCAGCCTTATCCAAGACTGCTAACAGAGCAGTGCCACTCAGAGCTTTAAATCGCAAAGATCTGAGGGGCACTGCAACTGCGCCCGTCACCCTGAGACATAAGTTGACAAGTCCCGTGTGCCTTTAACATCATAACCCTTCAAACACGAACGCAGTAATGTGAGCATTACTGCTTGACGGCGGAAATAGGTAAAGTGGCAGTGTTTTCCCGGACGAATTCTTTCACAAGGAGAATATAATAATATAACACACGTTTTGAAACCTTGGACATATGTATATGTAGTGTAATTCTTCATTTCCCCATTTATGTGATAAAGTAAGGTTTGTGTACTATAGCTACCATGTACTTTATAAACTCGTGCCCAATATTAGGACGCAGATAGGTACAAAGTAGTCGTACAAAACGGATTATTCCACGGTTCCTGGAAACAAGGAGCATAATAAACCATTATGTGGGGCGCACACCGCACGTAATGCCGTAACTTGTTTTGTTTCCCCATTCTGATCGAGTCCTTTGTTCCAAAAGCCATCAAGCTGCCCAATCAAGTAAGAAATTGGTGATCCCAGATGAAGCCCGGGTCCCTTTCCTGGCAGCTGTTACTAAAGATAAGCTCCTTAGGATGTGATGAAAATGTTTCCCGAGGCAGAAAATTTACGAGAAAAACAGGCTTATTAACGTTTAGAGAGTTAAAGGAAAAATGTGTGTTGCGAACTTTATTTGCAACCATTTGGGTTCATCCCTTTAGTTTTCTTTGCTAATTAAATGAGGCTCATTGAAATTAGACGGGGAAAACTTGCCTTCATTTTCGTAATTCTCTTTACGAAAATAGCTCTCCAGTACGTTATAATGAAAATTCTACAACTGTGTAATTCATTTTGAGCACTCTTACGTGAGACAGCTCATTTGGGTGTTGAAATGTTTAAAGTCAGCATTTGAATATAATTTAAGTGCTAGTTCTGATTTAAATTAGAAACTTGAGTTTCTTTGCATATTTTGGACGTCATCTCAGGTCATAAGCGTTCTGCTTTTTATTTATAGAAACGACCTTATTATATTGTGGTTGTTACTTGTTATATTACTGTCTTTCTTTAAAAGCGTTGGTAATTTTGATAGAACGTGCTCCGTGTTTCTCTTTTATAAGATCACTCCTGTGTCTTCTTGTACAAGCCAGCATTCGCTTATACTTTTACCAGGTTTATGGTGTTTATCTCTGGTCTAAACGGTAATAAGAATCTTTCTGTCATTGCGTGCATTGATGTCCAATATCAAAACATCTGTACTTTGTGTTTGTGTTTTATATTATTCTATTCTTGGACTCTCTTGCACAAGCCCACGTTCGCTGAATCGTTTACCAGGTTTATGGCGTTTATCTTCAGTCTAAATAGTAACAAGAACCATTCTATCACTGCGTGTTCCTATGTCCAATATCAAAACTTCTTTGCATGTCTAAATAACCAAAGTTCCCCGTTCTGCTATCGACATGTTCTAACAGTATTATTGCGGTATTTCCCATGAATCATAATTTGGCGAATAGAAGCGAAATGGTTAATGGTCTAGACAATTTCGTAATGGCTTTTAGGTAATAACATTGGATATTAAGTGGGTAAGATAAGGATAAACATTGCTTAGGTACTCGTTGAATGTTTGTTTTGAATAAATCTGTGTTTGTTATCTATTTACCTGTATAAAATATGTCTCCGGATTTTCATAAAACAGGATTCGCGTAATATAATTATTTCGTGGATGATATAATAGTTACTCTTAGTAGTCTGTGAATAAAAATCCCGTGTGCCTGTACGTTCTTTACGGTTGTTCCATGTCTATCTTCATTCTATCTTTCTCGCCGAAAAAGGAACATTAAGTAAGGGAATAATTATACAGCTCTTTTATAATGCGACAAAGGATGTTATGTGACCAAGCTATGGTAAAGGCTCAACTCTTAAACTATTCGTAAGCATAAATCATCTTAAAAGTATCTCCCTTTTAAGCTACCATTGCAATATAGGAAAAAATATGAAGGCACTTTAGCACTTTTAATGAAAAGTTTGACGAACTCTGTGGTAAGTAAAAGTATTTAAAATATATGTTTTCATGAACACCACAAAATGTTGATAACTTTATTATTCAATAGCTCTTATTGCATATGAAATAAGTAGTTGAACCAAAATATGATTAAGTCGTCATTACAACGGAACCTTATCAAAAGCGTGTATGACTGACACGATCATGCTCTACTTGTTTAAGAAAAAATTTGCTTTGATGAAGCTAGCTAAGAAAACATTATTATGGTTATGTTACCTTTATTTTTTTTCAACGTGAACGTTGCCCTATGTTTATGTGACAACTTCTGGGACATGAATATTTTTTACAGGCCCAAATTGCACGCAAAACATTAAATAAAAACTCCCATTTTTAAAAGTGGAGCATAGTATGTACTTAGGGTAGTATCTCGAAAATGAGGTCTCAAGGGATTGTTAATTTATCACACAGTTACTTTATTTGCTCAGGTTATTTGCCTTGGACAATTAGCTTATCTGAAAAGAGTTGTTTACCCACCGGTGAGTCGGCAGTAAAGTAAAAAAAGGTTTCATTGTGAGGTATAAATTATAGGCGGTACAATATTTTCCACGAAATATAACTTTTGAGATATTCAGTGATATTCAGAGACAACTGAGATGCTCAGATGATAAAACATTATACTTTTGAAATGGCGAACGCACATGGATCTTTAAAATCGAAAATAAAATTGTAAATATGTAGTTCTTCAGTTTTCGCGATTGTTAGGACGCCTTCAAATTATACCCTTGTAGAAGTGGCGCGGCAGTTGCGCGTCTGTAGCGGTTAAGTAATTTTTAGTTTAGTGACTGTGACAGCGAAAGTAGCGCGCGCCTGTCACGACAGTGGCGCTGCAACTACGCTTCTGATATTGTATTAAAATTAGTAGTAACGCGGTAGCGAAGCAATGGCTACAGCGCTTCTATAAGCGGCTAATTTGAAGGCGCCTTTATAGATAGGAAATGAATCTATTTATTATACATATAAGATTTAGAATATTATTATACATTACTATATAAGATTTAGATTAAAAAATCATATTGTCTAAATAAAATAAAATATAGATTTTAAGACTTTCGTGGTTATTCAGTAAAAAATTTAAAAATTAAAATAAGGTATGTAATTAATGACTTTGTTAAGTGCATTAATATTTGACGTAACAAGTTGATGACTTTATCATTGCAGTTACCCGTGATCATGGAACCGGTAAAGGACCGAAGGTTTGTTTGAAAAAACAAATATAGATCCAAAAAACAGTTCCAATACCTACAAAATTGTAGTATACCTAAGTAACTACACTTACATATACAAAAGATAATTCACAGGTTCTTGAAACCACTGAAAACTAACTTAAACAAGAAATGAAGGTAGTGCAAATATTCCAACCGCTCGTAATTTGCATCTCCTTTGTTTCTGTATTAATTCTG